GTAAGGAGCATGCACTGATTACAGTGCATAAGGAGCATGCACTTATTACAGTGCGTAAGTAGCTTGCACTGATTACAGTGCGTAAGGAGCATGCACTGATTACAGTGCGTAAGGAGTATGCACTTATTACAGTGCGTAAGGAGCATGCACTTATTACAGTGCGTAAGTAGCTTGCACTGATTACAGTGCGTAAGGAGCATGCACTTATTACAGTGCGTTGCTGCACCCACCACACGACAAACCACCTCAGGGATGAGAACCTGAGTGCAGCCCTGTGGCGGGTGATACCTTGGAATGGAGTGGTGGCTCTCAGACTAGGGATCTGTGCGAGCAACTGGAAGGTTACTGGTTCAAATCCCATGAATGCCCAGAGTGATCGTACTCTGTCGGGCCCTTGAGCAAGGCCCTTAACCTGCAATGGCTTCATCCTGGGTATGATGTTAATCTACATCCAGCCCTATAAGGAGGTCCTTCGATTTACAGGGAATAACTTGGGGGTTGGTGGCAGGATTGGCACCCCAGCCACTGAATAAAACCTCACACTGGTCCATTTGGACTAGTGTGGTGCTGACGTACCACATAAGGATGCTTGGAAAGCAAAGCTGTTAATGATGGTGGGGCTGTGAATTGTAGCTTGTTATGATATACTATTTTAACTTGTCCTACTAGCTATAGAGGGATTACACCACATTTCTCACATCAGTACCCCAGTTTACTATAATTATAATAAACTTTGAATAATTTTGAATTGAATTAACAGTATATTTGCTGTTTTATGCTTGCCATTGTTGCCACTTGCCTGCTCTCTGGGGTAATTGGACAGGGATAATGTAAAGTGTTTTGAGACAATGTAATGTGAAAATGTGCTATACAAAATAAAATTGAAAGGAATATTAGTCTGACACATGCAGGAGCACACAGTTGCATTTTTGATATATTTTAAAACCAGATGAACATACATTCCCAAAGCACCCCAACGCCTTTTCCTATCAGAACGCTAAATATACTCTTACTCTGAACTTGAAAGAGGGAGGGAGCAGGGCACTGCAAAATGAGGTCATCTATCTGCGCCGGGGAAGTTTTCCTTGGTCATTGTTCTATTGGCCTCGCGCGATCTTACTGCTGCATCTTTGTGCTGTGAAACTACCGAAGTGAATACAGCACGCCGCGAATTTTATAGCGTTGTCCGGGAAAATGGAGAGTCCTGAGGAAACCCAGAACAGTTCGGATAAAGCCTATGCCTCGAAACGACGGGCCGAAATACGAAGACGAAAACTGCTGATGAATTCTGAAAACAGAATGAACAGGATTATGGGGTTTAGTGGCAGCAGCAAGGACGACGGGGATGGTGAGTCGCATGCTTTCCTCACGGTATCGGTGTTGGAGAGAGATCATCTCGTTTGTGAGGTATGGCGAACGAAAGCTGTAAGTTGACATGTTTATAGACTTGGGTTATTGGTGAGTTTCGTTTGCAGAGAATGCATTGGGTATTCAAGCATTATTATTATGAGTATTGTTATTATTATTAATGTTATTATTCTTTACATTTGACAAGTGCTAAGTTAGGTTTAAATACGCACTACACCTTGAGGTAGGTCCTAGTTACCGTGGTAACACTGTATTCTTCGTTAGTATCCTACTACTGCATAAACGATGACGTTAGCGTCGGTTCCATGTGCAAACCTACGCTGTATGGGGTCACATTTGGGTTGTTTTGTTTGCCTTTTTTAGCATCTTCTCCACAGTATATTTTGTTTAATTAAATGCCAGTACAGGCGGCTTCATATTAAATATTCACTATACTGATAATGGTCAGCGATGGCACCTCCAGAACAATAGTAAATACGTGACATTGTATCCTGCTTTTCTAGCAGACGTTAAGGGCCATGTGATGGAACACAGGATGCACATTGATCTGGACAAAACAGACGCCTGGTCCTCAGCCATTTCCTCGACACGGCCGGCATCATTCTCCAGTGAACTTGGGGGCAGCCGCCATAGCGAGGGCTTGGAGAGCAAGTGCTCTCTACCTACCCCCGATATCAGGGACATGCTAGGGGGCAGCGGAGAAGAGGACAGCCCAGGGGAGCCCCGGCAGCGAGTGCGAGGGGATCTGGCCGGCGAGGGGCTGCCGCGCTCCCCCCGCCGCGGTCTGCAGCAGTATCTGTCGCGTTTTGATGAGGCTATGAGGCTCCGTGACCAGCTGGCCAGTGAGAAGCCGGCCCAGGATGGTGCCTCGGGTCCCGAGGAGCTGGAAGCCTTCCGTATCTTCCGGCTTGTTGGGAGTGTTGTTCTAGCTATTGCCGTCAGGGTATTCATCTGCAAGTACTTGGTAAGCTGCCTTTGTTTACTGTCTTTCTGGCTATCGCTTTACTGGGTTTCTCCCTGAAGGGTTGAATTTTCAAAGTTAAAGCAACTTTTAAGAGCAGTTAACTGAAAACCTTTTCTTGTTTGCAGTCCATATTTGCTCCGTTTCTTACACTGCAGCTTGCCTACATGGGTTTGTGCAAATATTTCCCAAAGGTGAGTCTCATGTTACTCTTTTTGTGAATGCGTAGACCTTTATTACCTTTGGATTATCAAGTTATGTTACCCAAGATGGCTTGTAATGCTGCACATATAACAATAGTCCATCAAAATGCTGGAATACAGAGGCAGTATTCACAATGGCTCATGCTAATTCTATTGCAGCAAGATATTCGTAGGGATGCAGCGACTGCATTTTCCTTGGCCGACCACAATTGGCAATTATTTTAAGCCTGACCTGCCGTCACCAATCCTTGGCTGATTCCAATTTTACTAGTTAATTAGCAAACTAAACATTTTATCACTTCTTTAGTGAACTTAGCTTTTAGCAAGCAAAATATTTAAAACAACCAGTTCAAATTTGAAATGGCTTCGCAAGTGTCATTTTAAATTGGTTGTTTCCAATGTTTTATGGGTAGTTTTTCCACAGACAAGTTTTTGTTTACGTCTTGCACACTGCAAATTCAGTGTCTTCATCCCACACTGTAAAGAACCTCCAAACAGTGGACGTTTCTTGTAAGTGTTTTAACGCACCTATCACACATAGTTCTTGGGAGGAGGGAAGATGAGTGTCGGGGACACGACTGCAGATGGAGATATGAGTTGGGAGTAGGACTGGGCAATATGGCCTAAGTGGCATAATATGATGCTTTTGGTTATAATCAGGATCCACAGCATAGATCAGTATTTCTGTTACCACCCGTTGTACAAACTGTACCTTTGCAAAGTTTGCAAAATGCAGTAGATTGGTACACATCAGATTTTGCAAATACAAACCATTTCCACACAATCAAAGCAGAACCTCTTTTGGATCCAGTTCTTCCTCATCTCCCCATGCCACACACACTTTGACAGCACCATCGACCAGACTGTGGTCTGTGTTGTTTACCGTGTGACACACACGCAATATTTTTTTTTACCAGTCTGGTGGTATATAAATTTTGTTTGTTTTTTCACCAAGTTAGCCAGCTGTTTAAAAAAAATCAATTAAGTTTTTAACTCAAGATCTAGCCCGCTAACTTGAGATCAACGGAGACAGATAATTGACCAAGAAGTGAGATGTACAGACATTTGAGACGTCATGCAGGCTGAAAATGCTTTGTTTCATTTCAGTCTGTTTTTGTTGCAACACTGTTGTAGCCTCCAAATACACAGGCATCGTGTGACAGGATTATCTGCTCACCCTGGTTATTTCCCTTATACCTCATTATAGACAAAAGCATCTGCAAAGTCCAAGTATATTTAAATGTCGTGCTGTATTGCAATTCTTTGCAACCGGATATGATAAAATATCACCATTTCGGCCATCACTATTTGGTACAAAAATGTTGGCTGGTAAACTACTTGATTGGCTCATAAAATTGGTGATATTTAGACTGATTCGTGCATTCCTAGTTATTTGTAGAATTTATTAGGAGAGGAAAATGACGCGTTGATAAAACTGGTTGGTCACAAGAACCAAATAAAAGATGGTTGTACGTTTGATTGCAGGGTGAGAAGAAGATGAAGACCACGGTGCTGACGGCCGCCCTGCTCCTGTCAGGAATCCCTGCTGAGGTCATCAACCGCTCCATGGACACTTACAGGAAGATGGGCGACGTCTTCACAGACCTCTGCGTCTATTTCTTCACTTTCATTGTGTGTCACGAGCTTCTTGTTGTCTTCGGTTCTGAAGTGCCCTGAGCTGGCACCTCCCCCTTTTCCCCGCTTCCTGGTTTGGCTAAGTGTTAGTCTCCCTTTTCCATATTCCAGTTTGCCTGGGCATCTACCCACCACTGCTCATAACTTCACATTTATATAAAACACCTGCTAGTTAATTTCAGTTGATGGTTTGTATGACCTGCTGGTTGACTGAGTGGACCCAAGTATTTAACTGAAATAAAATTGTTTCTGTAGACTTATTCTGTGATGGGACTGGAGATGTTTTTGACTACACACAGCTTGACTACCTTATATAAGCTTGTTGAAGTTTTCTCTGAGCTAAAAATGTATTGTAGCACATCCTGTTGAGTGTCCTGCACAGAAAACATCAGTTTTTAAGGTATGCTGCTGTTTTTCTTTCTTTCTTTCTTTTTCTTTCTTTCTTTCTTTCTTTATTTAAAGAGTGTCCTGTGATATTAATAACTTGGTCAATGGTTGTATTCTCTGTATAGCTTACGTTGTCTGATAATATGAATTATGGATTGTATAACTATCTCTCCATCGGCCAGCTAGTTACTGAGTTGTCAATACTGTACGGTATTGTGTGTGTTGTACGTTATAAAACATATAAATTATTTAATTTTGTGTAAAAATATTTTGAGTAATTAAAGTTGAATTTGTTTTCTTTTTAGAAATTGTTTTTAATATAATTTGTGTTTTCTTTGTAATTACTGGTAGCTGATGGGAAAATATTTATGTATAACAATATAACACATAAACTTGGCAAGTTTCCTTTTCACCTGCGTTTCTGTTTTTAGTTGTTCCAGAGCCCTTTAGGTGTCATGGTAAAAAAATATTATCCCATAGTAATTCATGCACTCCAGTTAGTAATTTATGTTCTCCAGTTACTAATTCATGAGCTTGAGTTTGTAATTAATTCCCTCAAATTAATCACCAATCAGACAGCACAAATTAGTAACTTTAGAGTGCGAGTTGGTAACTCGAGCGCACAAATTACTACGAGATAATATTCTTTTCTACCGTAACACCTAAGGGGCTTCATATAAACCAACTGAAGTTAAAATTCCCCTGCATTGTAAAATGTTACTGTAGTCTGCTTAACGTACTACGGTGCAGACACTTCTGGGAAGCTGAATGGGCTGGGCACGTTCACTGGGGTACATTTTAAGTGATAACAAATAAAAACCTCTCTCTGTGTGTATTTCCTGTGTTTTGTATCCTGGATATGTCTTGCTCACTGAGCACTGTAGCCATACACTTTTGCCTTTGTGTGCCCAGTTCCTACCACCCTGGTTCTTTTTGTGAAAGTTGCATGTTTTGCCTTTTCTTTGCATATTTAATTTTCCTGCTTTACGTAAGTGAATTACCCCTGTGTGCGTATGTGTCCTGCAGCTGACTGACATGCCGTGCAGGTTCTCCTTGCCTTCTGTCCTGTGTGTCCTGCAGCTGACTGACATGCCGTGCAGGTTCTCCTTGCCTTCTGTCCTGTGTGTCCTGCAGCTGACTGACATGCCGTGCAGGTTCTCCTTGCCTTCTGTCCTGTGTGTCCTGCAGCTGACTGACATGCCGTGCAGGTTCTCCTTGCCTTCT